GTAGGAGGATGAGAAATGATGGAGGAGGAGGAGGTGGTGAAAAATGGAAAGAGGTGGAAGATGAAGAGGGGTGGACAAGATAAGAAAAATAGAAAGTTAGGAAAAGTCAGAGGGAAGGAGAAAGAGTGAAGAAGAAAAGGGAAAAGAAAGGAAGATGAATAAGCAAAGGGAATGAGGAAGAATGGATGAAAAAGGGAGAGCAGGTGAAGGCGGCGGAAGGTGAAGGCGGCGGAAGGTGAAGGCGGCGAAATAGTGGACAAGAAAATGAAAAAGAATAAAAAAGAATAGAGACAGAAAAAGATAGAAAAGGAAGAGATAGTTGTTAAAAGATGAGGAAGAGAAAATATAAAGAGAGAGAGAGAGTGTGTGCGAGAGGAAGTGAATGAATGAGTGAGAGAGAGAGAGAGAGAGAGAGAAAGAGAGAGAGAGAGAGCAAATGATTTGTATTTCGCTTTTTCTATTTTCAAAGTAGGTGAGATGACATAAAAAACAAATTCTTTCATAAGTAGAGTATATTATTAATGTGTCAGTTTTATTTCGTAAATTCTTCGAAAAGGGACTAAATATTCTTGAGAAGGTTCTTCGCTTCAACTCAAAATACAGGCGTGGTCATCCACCTACGCTTATTGCAATCAGTAAAAGGAGTGATTAAGTAACGCCTTCAATCAAGGCGGTGAAGGTGGGGTGTCGGAGAAACTGCATACGGAAAAAAATCCAGGTCATTATTAATGCTCAGGGTGATGTTAGTACTGATTGTTGTTGTTGTTGTTGTTGTTGTTGTTGCTGTTCTTCTTCTTCTTCTTCTTCTTTTTCTTCTTCTTCTTCTTCTTCTTCTTCTTCTTCTTCTTCTTCTTCTTCTTCTTCTTCTATTACTTTTCCGTTTCATCCTCCTCTACTTCAACTACATTTTTCTTCTTTTCCTCTTCTTTTCTTCTTCCCTTTCTTCTTCTATTTGTTTTACCGCTTCATCATTCTCCTCTTCTGCTTCTTCTTCTCTTCTTCCTCCGCTTTCGCTACTATCGCTTCTTCTACTTCATCCTCCTCTACCTCTCCCGCTTCTTCTTCCTCCTCCTCCTCCTACTATTCTATTGCTTCTTTCACTCCATCTTCTCCTCCTTATGCTATCGCTTCTTCCGCTTCATATTACTCCTCTTTCTTCTCCTCTTTTTTATTGGTAACATTTTTAAAGAATTCCTGATACAACCGTTTAAATAGAGGAAAGATAAAAAGGAATTGATATCTTGGTGGCTGAAGTCGTTGCGTTTTCCATGCAGTGGCATTTTGGACGTTTTAGCGCTCAAAGAGAAAAGCAGAAATTCAATATAGGAAGGTTTTTGGCGCCTGGGTTATTCACGCAATCTAATCGCAGTCCTCTACTTCGTCCGGCTGGCTCTGAGCCAAACTAAACAGTGTTTCCCCCCCCCACACACACACACACACACATATATATATACATATGTAATCAGTCACTTCTCTTATTTCTCTAATGTATCAGTGTTTGGTAAGTTCTTAAACATTTGGTAAGGAGTAAGGATTATGTGTCGTTTTATGTTCTAGTATTGGAGTTGATGGTAGAAGCAAACAATAAGTACATGGTGTAATTAAAAAAAAATAGTGAAATTGGACTATACTAAAGTTTTATTTTACTTTTTTTTTAGGGCGTGATTATTGTACTGATTTCCACGCGCATATTCACATTCACATATAAACACTCCCGTTTTGTTCATGCACCAAAAAACACTTAGACGCAAGACATTTATAATTACATTCCACAAATGCACATATGCGGCCCGAAAACACTCGCCCCTCTTTGTCTATTCCTGCACACATACACACATGCACTCGCGAAAGCACACGTACACATACGCACGCACACAAACACACATAAGCACACATATATATGAAAGGGGTACAGGAAAATTCTTAACCAAACTCTCTGCCTAAAATCTGACGAAATAATTAAAAAAAGAATTTACTTTTAAGCAGAGAATTTTTCATATGTAGGTACATATACATATTCACACACAAACACAGACATATATATGCGCACACACATGCACAGATACACACACACACATGCACACACACATGCACACACACACGCACACACACATGCACACACAGATATATATATACATATATTTTTGGTTGGATTGATGCATATAATTATATCTATATATATATATATATATTTATATTTATATACATATACTTTTCACATATATACATATATATCATTGTATATATATCATTGTATATATATATATATATATATATATAGTTCAATACTTATCTGTGGTCAACTTTGAGTATCGTAATTTCTCACTCGTCAGGACTTTCGATAAGAATCATTGTATTGATTTTTTTCTAATCTTTCAATCGCAAACAAGACGATAGAATCACTGTGACGCAAGGTGTTACTGAGAGTGGAAAAAATTATGGATAACTTTATTGGTAGAATTTTTAGTAACGTTTAGTAAGGTAAAAACAGAACAACAAAAGAACAGGGTTAAAAAGAAGATAACGATTAACGTTGCATTTACATTTTTGAAGATAGAAGGTGGCAAAGAACGTAAGAAGCCAGAAGTAAGTTCCATAGGTGAAAAGTTCGAGTTAGGAATAGAACTTACAATTTCAAAATAATGTAATCAATGCAATGACTCTGAGCGAAAGTTTTGACGAGTAAGAAATCACGAAACTCAGAGTTGATCTCCGATATAGATATTAAAACTTTATTATTTATGATTCAATAATTATCGAGCACTTTATTGACAGAAATTCTGTTCACCTTGATATCTAGGATTATTTTATTTCTCTCTCTCTCTCTCTCTCTCTCTCTCTCTCTCTATATATATATATATATATATATATATATATATATATAAGTGAACATTGAAGACAACACACAGAGGCAACAGCCTGTTTCAGGCGTGACGATTGCGTTTAGCATGAAACAGACTGTAGACGCTGAGCGTTGTCCACTTTTAGCACTTTAAACCATAAATATAGTATACCATAAAATATATTTTATTATATATATATATATATGTGTGTGTGTGTGTGTGTGTGTGTGTGTGTGCGTATATATATTTCATCATATACTCACACACACACACACACACATATATATATATACTTACATGCAGAGAGAGAGAGTGAGAGAGAGAGTGAGCGATAAATAATAAATATATGTTTATTATTTTATTTTATGTTATTGTGTTATTTTTCGTGGATACCCATATTTGAATAGACGCTCCGTTTATTTAAAACAGTATTTTATTTCATCTAGTGAAATTGAAATTCTGGTTAAGAGCTTTTTTCCCCTATTTCTAAGACAATATATACATATATATCACATGGAATATTATGGCTGAGCCAAAGTAACACAACTGTTTTGTCTATTTCAAACCAACAAGTTCATCTGACAAATTTTCAGCCGTAACTAAGAATAAAAACATCCAAGTTGTTTTAATTTACTCTTTTTCAAGGAATATAAATTTATCTCAACTTCATAACTTTAAATATTGGTTTAATTTACTGTTCATAATAATAACAAAGTTAGTTATATGAACAGAATTTATAGAGGCTAGCTCGAGTAAATTCAGTTCACTTGAACTGATAAACTCTCCTTCACCCTTATGAGTCAGGTTAATAAAATTTCGTTCCGTCCATTAAGAAAAATCTTTAAAATTTCGAATAGTTTTAATTCACTATTTTTCTAGTAATAAAACTTTGTCTCAACTTAAATAAATTGTGTATTCATAATGCTAACGATATTACGTGTGAAAAAGTTGTTGACACTAAGTGGGGCAAATTCAATTCGCTCCGATGAACAATGCCTCAATACATGGAACATTCACTGAAACTTGAACTTCCTGTTAAGCTATTGAATATTGTACTATTACCGGCTTCTTAAATATTTATTTCCTTCTTAATTTATTTCAGTGAATGCTTGGCGTCACAGAAATGCCGAGACGTATTTAAATTGTTCTCTGACATCTGATGTGTTAGTGTGTGCACTCACGACAAAATGAAGTGAATTATTGGAGGTCAAACGGGGCTGAAAGAGAATAACAGATATGGGACATTCATTTCCTGAAAGTGTTGGGACATTTGGCGTCCTTCGATTAACAGTGTTACGTACACGGGAATACCAGGTGAAAGGCATTAACAGGTGAAAGGCATTACCACTCACTGTGGACAGCGCAGTTACTGACCATCGATCCTTAATGTTTGTAACTAAAAGTGTCTGGCTAGATTTATTTGTGGTAAGCGCATCCACATTCAATATAGAAAGTAGCAGACAAATAAATATCCAACATTTGAGTTCAGCCATCTGTAGTTTCCACGAAATATGGGAACAGAAGACCCACCAGGTTACCACTGTTAACACTAAACTAGAATTGGAGAACTGGCGTTGTCCGATGATTCATGGTGGAAATTTTTTCAGGTTAATGGTTTGGACAAAGACCCCATGAAGCAACATGACACTGAATAGTAGTTGGATTTTTTCACGTGTCATGGTTTAGACCAGCCGGTATACGTCTTTGCGAGCCTTTGTACCCCTTCGTTGACCCACATTATTTCAACGGGACAATTAACCGTGTCGTCGGGCACGATTTTCTCAAATGAAGGGTGTGGCAACGATGTTCACCCGACATATACCCAATCGAGCATTTAAGAGACGTTCTGGGGAAGTACTGTATCAATACTTACGCCAAGTCGAGTTGCTACAATTCGCCGGGTTAGAGGGAGTCGTACACAATCCTCTTAATCAGTCTGTGAAAGTCCTTTATTGGGCGTAGGCCTTCCCCAGATTCCAGCCTAATGCGTGTTAGTAGGAGCGGATGTAAGACGAATGGGCGAACATCTCTATCTTTTATCCATGATCGCCATGGGGTATTTGCGCGTAAATGAATTTAACGAACCTGACTGTAATTCGAACTCGGCCTTACCGATTTCTCACCCCGAACTTTTATCCATTACACTAACCACATAAGATTACAACACTTGGTATTTTCAAGCGGTCACCCATCAAGGTACAGACCGATGTTGCTTAACTTCGGTGATCGGACGAGAACCAATGTTTTAAAGTTATATGGCCATAAAATGTACACGATACTCGGCAATTTATCTATAACTTTCGACATGTCAGTGTACAATGTATGGGCGTATATCTGGATTCTTTTTTTGTTTTGTTGCCAGGAATGTCACCACTCCTCTGAATATAAAATGGAGTCGTTTTCGATCAGGCGTTTAATTACTAAATTACCTCCAACAGCATGGAGGAATATTTGGTCAATGAGCAAGGTAACCAAATCTTATATCTAAATAGTAAAAATATATGTTTGACATTTTTCAGAAGAGTCATCAGTGCCTACAGAAAGAGAATGCCCTATCGGCTGGGGCTTAAGAATACGCAGACTGCACTTCCACAGAGGGGTATGACCAGTCCTCCCCCACCCTCACCCCCAATACTACGTCAAGCAGCAAGGCCATTGATCATGAGGTTTGAAGAGCGTGGAACCACCTCTTAGTTGATGATATTCACAGGACAACTCTAACAAGGAGTAGTAACACCTGTTAGGGTCCCAGATATGGGAAAATAGTCAGCCCCCAAACTCGGGCCAAAATACTATGAAAGTGTAAAAATAGGTTTTAATACCATCAATTTATTTTTGAAGAAAAAACCTTACTACCAGCAATAGATTTTGGAAAAAGAAAACTATTACCAGCAATAGATTTTGGAAAAAAAAAATGTTACCAGCAATAAAAATCTTGTCGGCATTAAATAACACATTGAGTTTGAAATTTCGTAAAATAAAACAAAACAAAACAAACGAAAAGGGAAGAAATTATTTAGTTTTGGTTTTCAGAATATATCAAAATGCAATGCAAATTTAAATAGATTTAATTATAAGGAATGTTTATTAATACAATGTCGATTAAAGACAACTGACAAAACGAGTTTTGAAAAATAATTTATTTAACAGTTCTTGTTCACTTGCGGTTTAAAGTTATACACATACACACACACACTCGCATACATACATGCATACACACACATATATATTCCTCATTTGCCCAATACATATGTAATTTGCTTTATACATACATACATATATATATATATATATATATATATATATATATATATATGGCAATAAGAATGATATTTATTATATAAATATGATATATGGTATATGATAGTAGGCCTTTAGACTAGTTTTAATATATATATACATATATATATATATATAGAGAGAGAGAGAGAGAGAGAGAGAGAGAGAGAGAGAGATAAAGAGAGAGAGAGGGGTTGGAGAATAAGTTTAGTATAGATAAAAATATATACAATGTAGTTATAAAATTTATGATTCTCTTCTGTCTCTGTCTCTTTGTCTCCCTGTCTGTCTGTCTCTTTATATATATATATATATATATATATATATATATATATATATATGTGTGTGTGTGTGTGTGTGTGTGTGTGTGATAAAATATAGTGTCAAGGTATGCTATATTTATGGGTAAAAGTGCTCAATATCAGGCATCGAGACCATGTAAAAATAAAAGTGGACACTGAGGACAACACCGAGCGGCGACAGTCTGTTTCATACTTCAGGCAATCGTTAACCTGAAAGTGAGTATATATTAATAAATATACATATTATCCCGGTAAGGAATAATATGAGGGATAATATATATATATATATATATATATATATATATATATATATATATATATATATATATATATATATATATAAATTATAAGCATAAATTTTGGGTCACTCTGTTTATATAATATTTATTAATTAATAAGTGTCTTTGGTTTATTTAACTCCTACTAGGATAATATATTAAAACTATTTATCCTATTAGTGCATGGTGTCCAATTTGTTAGTGGTTGGGTTGTCTAATATTTAAAATCCGACTGTCCTCTTTAGCCAGCAAGATAGATTATGCAAAAAAGAGGTTAACATATTAAAGAAACTTTATGTAGTATTCGTATTAATTTCCTTATTATAATTATTATTAAATATATGTGATAAAACACTTCACGAAAGGAAAATCACTCTGCCCCGAAGTCAGATAATAAATTAGTTTAGAAAAAGGCACACAATCTTCAATTTTTAGACGATTTTTCCACAAGGTGATCACAAATATTTGGGCTATTTGTATATATTTATATATATATTTATATATATAAATATACATTTATATATATTTATATATATAAACATATATTTATATAAGTATATATAGTCATAGTTATAAATATATTTTATATATATAACTATAAATATATATTTATATATTTAAAAATTTAAGATATATTTATGATATATCTTTAAAATGACAATATGAATAAAGACAAAAGGAAAACTTATCTTAACCGACGCGTTTCGTCCTCTGACGGACTTTATCAAGGCAAATGCGAAGATTTTATTTTACAACAAGTATTTATAAACAAATGTAAAAATGCTAGTTTTTCAACTTTTTTTTTCTTAAGGGACGCTCATTAATATAGTGTTAGGCTTTCATTAATTGATTGTAGCAACTTGACGGGAATTTATCGATTAAGGACTTGATTTACGTTAATTTGAATGCAATATAGGTAAATAATCAATCAATCGATTTTTGATCAAGGGAAATTCCTTTTCTTGGTAAGCCTAATAATAATTGAAATAAAATTAAACAAAAAGTGATTTTAAAAAAATGTTGGCAATCATTTTTGATCTTTTACACTTCGTTCTTGTTATTTTTTCCAATGTTTTTCTTTTTACTCAATGTCAGTCGATGTTAGATGAGATTTATTTTATTTTCTTTTTCTTCTGTTGTTTTCTTATTTTTTTCTTTTTTTAATTTTTCACTTTCTCCTCGTGTTTTCATATTTTAATACTTTTTTGTTTTTACTTTTCACAAATTTTTCAATTTAATCCTTCCCTTCGAGTTCTTTCTTCCTTCATTTCTTGACATAATATAATTCAATGAAGGAATAATTAAAAAAAAAAAAATAATTAAGAACAGGAAAAAGAAAAAAAGAAAGAAACAATTGACCACCGTCCATAGTACCTAAAGTTACACACAATCTCAGTCCATAGCTATACAAGGCAAAAAATTAAAAAATCTTACCTTAGATTGTTCAGGAAAATAGCAAAACCTTTTTAAAACTATTTTGTTATTCCAAGATGCAAGTTAATGGCGTCAAGCGACCGCGAAAAACGGGCGATGAAGGTATGGGAGTTTCTTATAAAATTTTCGCAGTGAAGGGTGGCTGTTGCTTTTCGAGGCAAGAAAAAGAGTCGGCGTGGAGGTGGGAGGTGGTCGTGATGTAAAAGAGGATACAAAATTTTGCGTCTACGTTTCCGTTATTTTAGGTCAGTTAGCATCGCAGCCCTTATACAACCCTGGAGGCGGAACGGGTGTGTGGGCCGACGTGAGAGGGGACGAGATGATATTTTTTTCTCGTATTTGTAAAAGGCAAGTGGATAGGGAATAATATTCCTCAAATGTAGGTTACTGATGCAGTAACGACAAGAACAACCATTACAACCACTTTTAAACTCGGAATTTGAATATTGAATGTTGGTTGGGGCAGGGCTGGGCAAGAATTGCTTAAGACCAACCTTCTTCATCTTCTTTGCCTCCTCCTCCTTTTCCTCTTCTTCTTCTCTCCCTTCTTCTTCTTCCTCGTATTCTCCTCCCTTTTATCTTCTTCTTCTTTTCCTTCTTCTTTCCCCGTATTCTTCTCCCTTTTCCCTTCTTCTTCTCTTCTTCTTCTTCTTCTTCTTCGTCCCCGTATTCTCCTCCCTTTTCTTCTTCTTCTTCTTCTTCTTCTTCTTCTTCTCTCCCTTCTTCTTCTTCCTCGTATTCTCCTCCCTTTTACCTTCTTCTTCTTTTCCTTCTTCTTCTTTCCCCGTATTCTCCTCCCTTTTCCCTTCTTCTTCTCTTATTCTTCTTCTTCCTCGTATTCTCCTCCCTTTTACCTTCTTCTTCTTCTTCTTCTTCTTTTCCTCTTCTTCTTCTCTCCCTTCTTCTTCTTCCTCGTATTCTCCTCCCTTTTACCTTCTTCTTCTTTTCCTTCTTCTTCGTCCCCGTATTCTCCTCCCTTTTCCCTTCTTCTTCTTCTTCTGCTCCTCCTGTTCTTCTTCCTTTTCTCCTCTTCTCCTTCTTCTTCCCTCGTATTCTCCTTTCCTTCCTCTTCTTCTTCTCTCCCTTCTTCTCCTTCCTCATATTCTCATCCCTTTTCCCCTTCATCTTCTTCTTCTTTTCCTTCTTCTTCGTATCCTCCTTCCTTTTTCCCTTCTTCTCTTACTTTTCTTCTTCTCTTCTTCCCTTTCTTCTTCTTCTTCTTCTTCTTCTTCTTCTTATTATTATTATTATTATTATTATTATTATTATTAGCAGGAGTCGCAATAGGAGTGGCAAGAACGGTAGTTGACGGAGAAACAACTTATGAGGAAAAGCAAATGGGAGAAATATTATATTTTTCACAGAATATTTTTTTTCCATTCCTTGCAAACACTTATGAGCTTTTGAAGCTAATTTATTTGAGTATGAAAAATTCCTGCCAATAAACATATCCTTAAGCACTTCCAGCAGAAGCATTAACTTTCACCAGTAAGCTTAAGGACGATTCTTACTCGTGCTCCAATATTGAAGCCCTGTGCCAAAATAAACCATGTTAATTATGCGACTATGGCCCTTTGTTTCTTTCTGACAAATACTGTTTTTATTTTAATTTCTCTCTCTACTTTTCAGGTTTCTTTTATTATATCGAATTTTATTATGCAAGCAAGTCAATATTTTCGCAATCAAATTGATATCAACAATTTACCAGGATATATTAGCTAT